ATGATTAATTATGTAGTGTTGAAGTAAACAAAGGGCGATCCATTTACATTTACACTAAAGGCGAATTCGACTATCAAGTAGGATGACGTAGTGTAGAGTCACGCGTCATAGCCATTCTGTCCGAGCCGAGATCAGGCCAAAACATTTCCCGGGGGGACGGTGCACAAGTGAGACAAAACATACTGTTAGAAGGAGAGGCTTGTAATGCGACGCTGTGGCGCGAGTTGTATAGGATGTTACAAATTCTGTTTCTTTTTTACTTAATTAGTTTCTTTGAAAAATATTTTTTTTAATGATGGATTTTGTTTAACGTTAATATTTTTTTATGTTTATTGGCAAGTACGTTGCGTTAGACGTGTGTTCATTTATTGTCGCGATGGTAACGACACGCTGTATACCAGAATAACACAGGCTATAATTTATAAGGATATTTTATTTTATTTTTTATTTTATTTTATTGAGCAACAAAATCCACAGCCTTTAGTTGTTTACATGATTATCACATATACTTAACTTACAGGCAAGAAAGGATTTACATTTATGAGTAAACAATGTTTTAATTAATATATAAAATATATAATTGTAACAGAGTAATTATCTAAAATGAAAAAACAATAAATAAAAATGTAAAGCAAGCTGAGGTGCGCACACCCTGTATGCCCCCTGCATAAATAGTAGGTATGTAATATATATATGGGTACATATATATATATAGTTTACAATAAATAGTATGTGTAATATAATATATACGTGCAAGTATGTTTATAAAATTGTAATTATATATATTTATGATGAAGTATATTTAGTTTTGCCATATTCTTTATGATAGACACTAAAAATTTTGTATGTCATTTTAGCGTTACTACCCGTAACTTGTACTCAACCACCAAAGGTTAGCTGGAAGAAAATGCTAATTAGCATTAAGTTCGCCTTTGTATAAACTTCTAGTACAATAAAGAATATACAAACAAACAAACCCTGTGCATGCGGGCGCGCGCGCGCGTGTACGTGTGCGTGTGCGTGTGCGTGTGCGTGTGCGTGTGCGTGTGCGTGTGCTTGTGCGTGTGTGCCAGTGCGTGTGCGTGCATGCGTGCGTGCGTGCGTGCGTGCGTGTTTGTGTGCGCGCGCGCGCTTGTGTGTGTGTGTGTGTGTGTGTGTGTGTGTGTGTGTGTGTTGTTTATATGGAAAATATCAACTGAGCGAAATTTGTTGTTATATGTATTTTTAAACGGTTTGCAATAGAATTTTGTGCATGTCTTGTTGATGATTTAGACACAGCGAATATAGGTGTATGTCTCGTTCTGTATTTTGGAGTATAAAAACAGAGGATCCTATCAGCTAAAGGTCCACAATCAATTTTTCGATTACATGTACCATGCAGAAAAGTCATATCCAGTAATATGCGTCGATCCTTTAGGCTCATTATTTTGTAATGGGCACATGAGTCTGCATAGTTTTGCGTCTTTCTATTATCTTTAAATTTTAAGTGCTTAAGAAACTTGTGTTGAATTTTCTCTATGTCATTAATGTGAGTTATGTATGGTTCCATATAACACCACAATATTCTAATATGCAAAGTAAAGTAGTTTAATACAAGTAATATCAGAAAAAGGTGAACTAACACGAAGGATAAATCCAAGACTTTTATACGCAGAATTTATAACTCTTTGTAAATGCTCGGAGAAACTTAACTTACAATGTAACAAAATACCCAAATCCATTAAACATTCTTTTTTACTTATAATTATTTTATTTATTTGATAGTTATAAAAAGTAGGCGATCTTTTCCTCGTAATTGAAATATATTGAGACTTATTAGCATTAATGGTTATGTGATTTTCTATATAATAATTGTCAAACCGTTCAAGATCTTCTTGAAATTTGACGCAATCTATGTGATCTTTGATTTCCATAAATACTTTAGTATCATCAGCATACATAAGGAACTTGGCATTTTTGAAACACTTACCTACATCGTATAAATAAATTACATAAAGAAGAGGACCCAGGATAGAGAAATTGTGAGAATTGTCCAAAATATTACGATAAGTGTCAAGTAAGTACTATCACATTTTGCCATCTGCTAGCTATTCTGGTGTATAATAAAAAAATAATTACCTATTTCCTTTGAACGCGCAGGTGAAGCTGCGGTTAACAGATAGTCCTTACTTATATTATTACTCTTTCACGCAAATACTACTGAATGAACCGAATGACCGAGCATTGCTCGTTTTTTTTTTTGGTAAATCATGTATTTTGGAAATAAAAAAAAATAAAAAATAAAGAAAGTAATGATCTGGTATAGAAAAAAAGTAAAAAAAATAAGTGTGTGTGAGGGCCGTCTGTTTTGGGGCCGCCCGATTACCGACGGAGCTATTATAACATTTTTTCGCCCCCCAATACATACTAAATTTAATGAAAATCGCTGGAGCCGTTTCCGAGTATATACAGCGTGTCGTTACCATCGCGACAATAAATGAACACACGTCTAACGCTACTTGCCAATAATCATAAAAAAAATATTAACGTTAAACAAAATCCATAATTAAAAAAAATATATTTTTCAAACAAACTAATTAAGTAAAAAAGAAACAAAATTTGTAACATCCTATACAACTCGCGCCACAGCGTCGCATTACAAGCCTCTCCTTCTAACAGTATGTTTTGCCTCTTTTAAATTCATTCAACCCATTCATATGCCTGGTGACCTTTACAAATGAACTTTACGTTACGCTTTTATAGGTAAGGGTGTTCTAAAATTCTTTGTTTTGGAAAATTTAATAACTCTGTAAATATTGATGTTTAAAGAATTTAAATGTTTAATATAACTTTAAAAAGTTATCCCCTATATGTGTGTTCATTTATTGTCGCGATGGTAACGACACACTGTATAAGATATAGCTTATACATCAGAATAAGACATAGACTATAATTTATATACATATATATGTATATCTGTCTTTCTCTCTGAATGTTACGCCTTCAGCCTATTGTAATATTATGAACGCGAAAGTTTGGATTTATGGACGGATATTTGATACTCTTTCACGCAAAAACTACTGAATAGATTTTAATGTAACTTTACAATAATATAGCTTATACATCAGAATCATCATCATCATCATCATTTCAGCCTGTTTGAGTCCACTGCTGAACATAGGCCTCCCCCATAGACTGCCACAAAGTACGATCCTGAGCCACCTGCATCCATCGACTTCCCGCACATTTGCACAGGTCGTCACTCCATCTAGTGGGGGGGTCGTCCTACACTGCGATGGCCAGTACGAGGCTGCAACTCGAGAACCTTTCTTCCCCAACGGTTATCGGTTCTACGAGTTATATGGCCGGCCCATCGCCACTTCAGCTTGCTAATCCTCTGAGCTATGTCGGTTACCTTGGTTCTACTGCGGATGTCTTCGTTACGAACTCTGTCACGCAGAGAAATACCGAGCATAGCCCCCTCCATAGCTCGCTGAGCGACTTTGAGCTTCCTCATACGGCCAGCAGTGAAGGACCACGTCTCGGTTCCGTAGGTCATCACTGGCAACACACATTGATTGAAGACTTTAGTCTTCATCAATGTGTGTTGATGAATGTCATCAATCTACATCAGAATAAGATTTCTATTAATTCTATATCTAATAATTATATATCTATATCTAATATATATATCTAATAATTTACAAAGATATTGGGTGAATTGTCCAAAATATAGGTTAAGTTTCAAATATGTAGGAAAAAATTCAGCCATCTGCGAGATATTCTGGTTTAATATAAAAAACACATTGTTAATTCCCTTTGGACGCGCGGGCGTAGCTGCGGTTAACAGGTAGTAATTAATAATGTAAACAAGAAATTCGAAATTGTGAAATCTAAATAATCCGCAGTCGGTTCGCGTCGTCGGACTTTGCCCTTATCCATCTGTACAGAAGAGACCTTTGCCCACCAGAGATATACAATCGCGACAATAAATGATCACACATAAAGAGGATAACTTTTTAAAATTGTATTAAAAAATTAAATTCTTTAAAAATCAATATTTACCGAGTTATAAAATTTTCCAAAACAAACAATTTTAGAACATCCTTAAGTATAAAACTGTAACGTAAAGGTCACAAAGCATCTGAATGGGTAGAATGAATTTAAAAGAGACAAAACATACTGTTAGAAGGAGAGACTTTTAATGCGACGCTGTGGCAACCAATGAAAAAGTCTCTGAATGTATGAATCAGTCAGTTGTAGTTGTATAGAATGTTACAAATTTTATTTCTTTTTAACTTAATTAGTTTGTTTGAATTTTTTTTTTTAAATTATGTATTTCTTTTATCGTTAATATTTTTTTATGATTATTGGCAAGTAGCGTTAGACGTGTGTTCATTTATTGTCACCGTTGTAACGACACGCTGTATAGGCTACTTAACTTTTTTTACGCCTTACGAAGCCAAGATGGACATTTGAACAAAATAGTATGTTGTCATAAAGGCATGTAAGCTTACTTAAAAACTAAAGGTAGCTTGATTTGGAACAATATTTTTTGTCTATTTTATGTTTTATTCTCGCCAGTATATCATTGGATGCGTATATGACGCATCCAGTACATCGGACAACTTTTTGTCAAATAAAAAATTGTCCGATGTACTGGATGGAGTATAAAGTTGTCCCGAATTTGAGGTTTTTGCATCCGTGTCCTCAGGTGAAATGCGAGTAATAAGGGGACTACTCTTTAATGCGAGAGACGTATTTGTTTTTTAAAAAGAAACTAGAAAGATTTTCTTTATGTGTGAAAGTAATTTCTCATTCATCAAAAATTAACAAAGATAAGCTGTGTTTTTAATCACTTCACGATCAAATGCAACGCTAATTACCCGCGTTCTTTACTCAGAATGTTATCTTAGTTGATAGGCGATCGCTACCTACTACGTACTGTTTTTAAATAGCCATATTGGTGTGAACTTTATGCTTTAGAGTTTTAGAGCAAACGATATTACAACAAACAAAATATGTACATCTTGTATTTTATCCAGTTTGCCGTGCTCAGCGCCACTGCATCCGTGATATTTGAGGACTGTGGTAAGTGGTTTTTATTCCATATCATATAATTATTATATTCTGGCAGGATGAGAACTATTTTATTAGAGATTCGAGCATTATCAATGTTGACAACAGAGCTGCTTGTTTGTTTTTTTTTTCTTTATATTTTGCACTTAGTGTCTTTTCTCCGGTTTAAAATACTTTACGGTTTATAATTAAAAATATTTTCTCGGTGGAAACAACCGTGCCGAGGTACAGGCAAAGCTTATTCTTTCGTGTTTTTTTTCTCAACAAATATCTTGAGTAATTCAACTTTTATATTTTCTACATATGAACCACTTCTATCAAAAGTTTTGAGTGTAACTTACAGGAACTTATTTATCTATAGTTTTGTTTTCTCTCCATGACTTCTTAATATACAAAACTATTTGCAGTAATGTAAGTTCTATTATTAGATACGTTATAAGCGAAATCATGTAGCTTATTTATAACTTCGCTGTATATATACTGATGTTATGCATAGAGCGAGAGTTTTCCGAAGAAAATAAAAATATAAATTCATTTTGGTAAGTTTCCTTACACTGCTTCTCTATCTTATTTTTCCTCTTCGAAAAGTTAGCGAAGCTCCAATTATATCAGGCTACAGCTGCAGCGACATTAAGCAGTTAGCTTAAGGATTCACCAAAAATTTGTCTTATGGTTGCTTAATGCGATCAGATTGTAAGTAGTTCCTTTTTTAAATAACTTTATCCCATACTTTTTTTCTTTTTCAACCATCTTTTACTATTACTCTCATAAATAAGGAAGTTGGCAAAGGTCTGAAAAGGTCTGAAATACTGAAACTTATCATACAGCACAAAGTTCTATCTGTAAATCGTTAAGATTCTTCGGAATAGGTTGTAATCAGCTCACAAGAAAAAAAAACAAACAGCAGTAAGTCTCAACTGGCAGTACCAATAAATTGATACTTAATAAGCATAAGGTAGTCAATATTATCATTTCATGCTAAATCTACTAACTACTGATAAACAAACAAAGTTTTTACAAATATAAGTACTATATTTCCTTACATCTATAAATATAAAAATAGCATCCGTAAGTTTGTGTTCAAAACTTAAAACGTAGTCAATGGATTGAATTGGTATTTGTTAACAACGTAGCTTTTAAACAAGAGAATTTTAAATAGTTTTTATAGGTTCAAACGGAAAATAAACAAAGCGTGACCGGGTTCAGCTAGTTTTGAATAAAAATATGTCTGTAGGTATTTTATTTCTGTATGAAATAAATTTTATTTATGTATGAAAATGGTGTTTAACATTTATGTATGAAATCCACAGATAGCTTAGCTATATAGCTACATAGCTATTAACTAGTTATTTTTATATATGTCTTGTTTAATAAGAGTACATGGCACGGATTATTAGATTACTAATCTAGCGGCATTATATTTTATTGCTTTATTTATAGATATTCTATGTTAGTCCGATTGCTTTATCAGATTTAGTATTACGGTTACTTAGATCGAATTTACACATAATTATGTGTCACTACTTTCATAATTTAGATGGATACAAAATTCAAAACTAAAGATTTAGATGTTTTGACAGTTGTTTTAATTTAAATTATATATTTAATTAATTCAAAATTGTAATTATATTCAATTAATGTTTACAATTAAATTAATAATTATATTTAAAACCTCTTACATAGGTACATACTATATTTTTAAAGCCTTGTTTAGGATTTTTTCAAGGGAACATTAGAAGGCGTTTGGGGGCCCCCCAGGACCGGGCCCGGGGCGAACCACTCCTTCCACCCCCCTAGTCTATAGATAGTCCGCCACTGGTAGTTGTCTCCATAAAAATACCGCTATCTAGGTTACGTAGATTCGATAACCCAAAACCCAAATACATATTTCGTGTAAATATGCGTTTGCATGTTGTGCAAAATTAGAAGAAGCGTTATTGTATTACGTTACGACAGCAGTTTGTTTAAGTGTCGCATAAACGGGACTATTGTTACGAGGAAAGTCAAATCTCCACATCTATCTACGTTCTTTCTATTGAATTTTTAGCAATACTTGTTGCCACCTAGTGTGCATCCTTTAGAACATTCTACGATGAACATTTGTATAAAGAGATGTCGCCATTGCTCTTAAAATTTTAGGTGGTAGGGCCACGCAGCAGCCTTGGCTGTTGCACGAACGGGCAGGCCCGTCCGGGTAAGTACCACGACCTCACAGAAGACCAGCGTAAAGTGGAAGTATGACAAATACTTTCGCGTTTCGTCTGGTGAGTGAGGTAGCCGGAGCCCAATTTTAAAAAGGTTGTCAACGTATCTGTAACCCTCGGTTGTAGCAGATGTCCATGGGCGGCGGTATATTCACTTACCATCAGGTGAACCGTCTGCTCGTTTGGCAACTTTTCACATAAAAAAAAAGGATTAATATTTATTTTTTGTGCCAGTCTTTGCACTCAAGATGATACTTTAATTTGTAAATTTTTGTAGATGGATGAACAAAAACTTTCGGTTTTGGGGGTTTCGATTCTATCTGCGTTCTTTCTGTTACATTTTTAGCAATGCATGGGACTCGAATGGTATAACCTCAAAGCAATCAATTTTGAATCCAAATTTTTTTGGATTGAAAATTTGCATTGAATTTTGGTTTAGTTTTTTTATGATCTTTAAAAGCCTATTTTCTACCTGTCAACCTATTGGCTACCTGTCAACACACAGTGCTCATCCTCTGCGATAGTGCCAGTTATATAATTTGCCCGAATATCATCGTCGCTATAGAAAGATTTATTAATTCTAATGTCCAACAGAGTTGCTCGTTTCTTAAAAAACAAAAAAGACCTGTATGAAACGTAAAAATTCGATACTGTTCTTGCTACCTAGTTGTTTTTTAACATAAACTCTAGAAAGATATTTTTTTACGTAAAAGTAATTACCAATTCATGACATGTTATAAAAGATAAAATTTATCGCTTAAGCCGATTTCGTCAGGATTATATTAAGTATTAACAGAACAATGATATTTTATTCAATAGTGTTCCAGTGACAGCATACTTTCACACATTTCTTCTATCATAACTGTCTCACACATGTCAAATATATTATTTATATGGGTAAGACATAAAATATCATAGAAACGAAAAATATATTAATAAACATATTAATATATATGTTATATATTATAATACAATAACATATATTATAATACAATAAAAAGAAAATTGTACACTTTCGAAGAAATTTTATTTTTTTCGTATCTCTTACTTAGTTTTTTTTTATTTCAAGGTTATACTTATGAGTGAATAGAAGAATTGTTGCACATTTGTCAATTATAGTTTTAATTAGATTTATGCGATGATTAAAAATAAGAGCCTGTCGCACTGAATGTTCAAAACAGGGGGGAAGGGACTTATAACATAGGACAGCTAAAGAATAATTGATCAAGAGTACCCTCATCTAACCCGCATTCACACAAAGACGTATAAGGAGCTGTGATTAACGATGACTTCACTGCATATGACATCATATCTGGACATCTTAATATATGTCCTGAGTGTATCCATCTTTCTCGTCCTCGTTCTAAATTAGCTCCCCTTTCTTTCAAAAACATTTTAAATGTACCAATAAATCGAAGATATATTGTAGTACATTCATGATATGAGACCCTTGTAAATACACACGACGGCATCATTTCTTATATTGTAAAATTCATGGTATCGTGTCTTACCCTCCTGCCTCATGTGTAACTAAGTTGGTACAAGACTTCCCAATTGAAACGTTTTCGTTACTTCACTTCGTTCATTGTAACATAAGTTTGTTTAGGGCTTCGGAATTTTAGTTTTAGAGCGGCCACTGACTGCGCTACTGTTACTCAAGATGTAAGTGTAACTGTGCGACCAAATGCGCTCATTCTTGCCATAAATTTTGAAGAGGCCAAACCAGTAAAGGTTTGCGTTCTTGAAATACACCGAAGAAAAATAAAAGAAAAAGCGCTACTGGCTGGGTGCATCTTATATAAGTATACAGTGAATGATATTTGGTAGTAAATAAACAAGTAATTTTGCTATGTGAAATGTTGGAAAAAGAGAAAATGTCAATACTAATGAGCTAATAATGAGTATGAAGTTTACGGTACCAAAGTAGTAAATAAGACATTGAATATACCAAGACATCGTTGTATCTTTACAAATTTAAGTACATATTGTACTTCGGCACCTTACAACTAAAACACGTCTGTATTAAATTATATGTAATATCTTATATACGAAATGAATGCCCTTTTAGCAGAAACCTTTCTAGTAATTTTTATTTTTATCATTATATTTATAATTCATGAACTTGATATAATGTTTAATGAGATTATACGGCACAGATTATTAGATTAGTAATCTAGCAGTATTATACATTATTGTTTTATTTACAGATAACGCGACTCTTCTTCACGATTTTGGTATCACGGTTTCTTGAATCGAATTCACACACATTTGATTAATAATAATAAATAGAACTAGTCATCGTATTGGAGGAAATTTAAGCTTAATTTATAAAATATTCTTTTTCGCTCAAAAATAAACTTTAAAATTCTTTGGTGAGAATTTTAAAATATATTATTGAGTTTGCTTTGGCAGTTTAAATATGTTTAGTTGCATTGATGATGATGATAAATATTATTTTATTTTTCGTATTTTTCTTCTTAGTTATTTTTCACATTTTTCTCAACATAAGTCGCTTAGCTCAGTTGCTAGTTGCGCTTGGCAGTATAGAAAAGTAAAACACAAAATCCATTAAAAAAATAATATAAGTATAGCGTGTCTTTACAATTGCGACAAAAATAAATACACATACAGGCGATCACTTCTTAAAATTGTATTAAACATTTACATTCTTTAAACATCAAATATTTACAGAGTTATTAAATATTCCAAAACAAAGAATTTTAGAACACCCTTACGTATAAAACTGTAACGTAAAGTTCATTTGTAAAGGTCACAAAGCATATGAATGGGTTGTATGAATTTAAAAGA